TAGCTAGCTGAGGCTTTCCCTATTTCCTAATTGGCCATTGCTACTAGCTCTATCCATTTCCTCTCTGATCCTCTCAGAGTACCAGAGGGTATGTAGCTTTTCGTCTCCAACTCTTCCTTTCCAACATACGCTATTTGCACATTTCATTACGAACTTAAGGTAAGTTCATAAAACCATGAACAACCCTATACACCACACGAATGCGTCTCTCTATCCATCACAGAGACCATTGTGAAGAAGGGGATTAAAAAAAACACACGTGGTGGGGAAGTTTATCGGATAATGTTCGAGAAAGTGCAACACCTTTCCAAATCTACAAACTCAAATCCTAGTGATGAACCAATACTCTGTTCCCGCAATGTCATTCGAATTGGCACCACTATTCTGAATCTGTATCCCAAATTCTGAATCTTTTGCATGATAATATCATGTGATACGACGCATAATATTCATGCTATCCGAAGAAAGTCGATTCCCAGAATCCAAATTTCAGCTCAAACACATTGCATAATAACCAGTTATTCCAGAATCAATCCATAAATCAAGAATTGCAGACGCCTATTATAAGATTAGAAACGAAAACTTAGCTCAATCCACATTCTGCATAACATCCTCGGCGGTGAACTTTGTCCCCTTGTCGTTATCCGCGGCGGCGCGTCCTCTCGCCTTCCGGTCGAGCAGCGACTTCCGGTCCTTGTCAAGCTTCAGCTTCGTGATGACAACCTTCGACGGATTGACGCCGACGTTGACCGTTGTGCCGTTGACCTTCTCCCGCGTGATCCTCTCGATGTGGATCACCCACTTCCGGCGATATACCTGCACGATCTTGCCCTCACGCCCCTTATAGGAGCCGCGAACCACCTGGACCTCATCGTCCTTGCGGACCGGCATCGACCGTACGTTGTACTTCTGTCGGAGATCGCCGGAGAGAGGCGCGCTCATCAGTACGCGCCTTACGCTCGAAGGCGCCGTGAAATATGCCTTACGGTTCTTCCTCCGGGACGAGCTCACTCTCGGATTGTACTTCATCTTCTTCCTATGTTGCTGCTGCCGCCAAACCTAGGGTTTCGGCAAAGAGGTTAATAGGGACAACTAAACGACGTCGTTTAAATATAGCCTTTGATATCCCAACTCGGTCCAACAACTCACTGAGTCCAAACTCGAGTTCGTCCCTTTCTTGGATCACGTTAAAATGGGCCTGATTTGGTTCCCCCTTCGTTTTGGGCCTATTCTTTGATCTCAAACGTATTCATATCATGCACACACCATACAAAGTTCATTAATCTTGAATTTTAATTATTTTAAAATTTTATGCATCATAAATTCCAACTATCAAATAAAGCAACAAAAATAAAGGGATGTAAACCACATGGGCACAACACAACTGAACATCACAAAATCCATTCACTTTGGCATTGCGCATTGCGCATTGCATACCGACCATGTTTGGGGGTCAGTCTCTTCCCAAAGCTCAGGAACTGAAACTGAAACAGGGTACTTACTCACCGGAATGTCCGAACAACTGATGAGATCCCACTCCTGTCAGGCAACAACTTCTTGATATAGTACTTGGATCTCCTAGAAAGATTGATCCTTTTTCTTCTCGCCTCCGGTATCATCTCTATTGAACATTCCCGGAACCCGCGTCTCACAAACCAGTCTGCAGTTCGCGTTGTCAGTAGAAATAACCTCTCTAACCCGAGGGCCGAAGCTTTCTTCTCAATGTAATCTGTTTCATATTTCAACAGTCACATATAAAACAGGTGACCCAAGCGGGCTTTTTCTATTTTTACGCAATGTCAGGACAGGACCGTACCTAGCAATTTATCTCCTTGCCCTTGTCCCCGGCAATCCGATGCAACAGCAATAGCAGCTACTTCTCCGCATTTTTCGTCGTAGAAAGGGAAGAGGGCTGCACAAGCGATGATCTGACCTTCCCTTTCCACCACCACAAACGAGTCTAAGGCTTTCACTAACTGCACAAATAGAATCAGTATAAGCAAAAGTCTAGGTAGAGAAGAAAAAAATGAGATGTAGAAGCATTATAAGCCTAACCTCATCATCGGCTCTTCGTACTAAAGTCCCGGATTCCTCAAGGGGTTTGATTATTTGTCTTATCCCGGCAAGATCTTCCACTTTTGCCATCCGGGTTCCTTCGTACACATCACTGTGACAACGACAGATAGCACAAGGGAAGGGTCACTAGCACTGAAGAAACACTGAGGGGATTAGCCATTGGAATCAACCGTGTTATACCTTGCCACCATAGTTCCCATTCCATCTCTTTTGAAAAGTTCCAACAATAGCACTCCACTGATGGTGCCGTCCAACAAGTGAACTCTTTTGACACCGCCCTTCATCAAGACAAGGCAAGCAACAAGCCACCATCACCGACAAGATATAAAGTCAGGAACTTGAGTTGGGTTTCATAAACAGGCCCAGATCAAGTACTCACTCTGCAGACGAAGGCTGCAGCGGCCAATTCCGAGAGGTAACCATTCAAGCGGCTTAGCCTTTCCTCACCGCCAATAGCAAAACCTTGCTCACCAGACCACAACCCATTTCCGTTATCAAATCCAACACCATTTTGAAAGGTTGGAATGTGCTTTCCCCAAACCGCTCT